CAATCACATCTATAAATGAAGCTTCCGAACTTCTGCAAAATGAGCTAAGCCTAATTGAAGACTGGTTTCTTCAATGGAAAATTAGAATCAACTCCCTGAAATCAGTCCAAATAACGTTTTCATTAAGACCAGGTAACTGCCCAAATGTTACACTTAACGGCTCACCAATTCCACAAAGTACCTGTGTGAAGTATCTCGGTTTGCATCTCGACCGCAGATTAACATGGAAAAACCACATTAAAGCAAAATGTCAACAACTCAGACTTAAAACACTTAAAATGTCCTGGTTGATAAGTCGAAAATCAGANTCCGAACTTCTGCAAAATGAGCTAAGCCTAATTGAAGACTGGTTCCTTCAATGGAAAATTAGAATCAACTCCCTGAAATCAGTCCAAATAACGTTTTCATTAAGACCAGGTAACTGCCCAAATGTTACACTTAACGGCTCACCAATTCCACAAAGTACCTGTGTGAAGTATCTCGGTTTGCATCTCGACCGCAGATTAACATGGAAAAACCACATTAAAGCAAAATGTCAACAACTCAGACTTAAAACACTTAAAATGTCCTGGTTGATAAGTCGAAAATCAGAAACCACTTTGGAAAACAAAGCTTCCCTCCACAAATCCATACTGAAGCCTGTTTGGACCTACGCTATACAGCTCTGGAGGACTGCCAGCAACTCAAATATTGAGATACTTCAGCGTTACCAATCAAAAACTTTGCGACACATTGTCAATGCTCCGTTTTATGTATCTAATGCAAATATCCACAAAGATCTTAATATTAGAACCATTAAAGAAGAAATAAATAAAACTAGTAAGAAATACATTGACAGACTCCACAACCACGAAAATAATTTAGCCTTAAGTTAATAGACAATAGCTTAACAGTAAGAAGACTGAAAATATACCACATTCTCTAATAGCAGGGCTCATTGGAAAACTGCCTTCTGCATACATATGTGTTTACATACATATAAGTATAAGAGATAAGCTTTCGGCTTAGCTGCATATTTCGGATTAGCTGTACATATAATTCTTAGAAGAAAGCTTTGCATATTTCTGGTTAGCTCATGGCATGGTGAAATTACTAATAGCTGACGGATTCACCACAGTGCTTCTCATTCGAGAAACACCAGCTTGTCAGTCGTTTGCCAAACGTTGACGAGACAGTACACAACAGTACGCACGATTTTTTTGATTGTCTTCTTCTTTTTCTTCATTGTTTACGAATGAAGACGTAAGCGTAAGACAATAAAATATACAAAAAATATTTGTTGCCATAAAAATTATCACCAAATATTTTATTTTTGATTTTCAAAGAACAAAATATTTTAATTTCTTTACGTATATCCCCATTTAAAAAAAAATTATGAAAACTACAAATTTGTAATAGAAAACCTTCCATTTTCTTTCATGAACGTTGGAACAAAAACAAATTTTTTTTTCATTGAATATATTTAAAAATAATTAAAATACATAATGGGATAGTTTAGTGATAGAGAATAGAAAAAAAATAATGAAATAGAATGAAATTGCGAAAATAATAGACGCATTTCGTAACAAATTTGATAGATCTTACAAATGCATCAATAAAGATGCAGTCATAAAAGCTGAAACACAGAAAAAACCGCATAGAAATATTAGTATGGGAATACAATACTATATATAGTTAGTTACCCTAGTAAATATTTATGGAAATAGTTTAGCAACTGAGCACAATAGGAGATGTTTAAGAGATGTATAATAAAATCCCGAAACACCAGATTAATTAATGTCATCAATAGGCGACATATTCAAATAGACGTGACAGAAAGTCTAAATCAATTTGCGGAGTTTGATCCCGACCAATTAAATTACCCAAACGAATCAATTCAATAAATAGGCGCTGAATCTGATAGTGAAATTGAAACACTAGAAGAAAGCTACCCAAGCGAAACAAAACCGGACATAAAAACGGGATCTAAAATGACACAAACAGTGGTAGATTTCATCAAGCTAGCCACATCTCTGTTACCAGAGTTTGATGGTAATCCGGAACATCTACAAAGTTTTCTAGATTCTTTGAATCTATTAGGAACCTTAAAAGGTACACATGAGCCAACAGCTATATGCCTTATAAAAACAAAGCTAAGAGGCCGTGTAAGAAATTTGATAAGTAATGAGCAGACAATCAACGGTCAAGTGCGGAGAAGTTGTTGAAGTTGTAGAAGAAATCGGTAGAAGTTGTATCTGCTAAAGAATCTTAGCAAATCTGCAACAGAAAAATAAAACAGCTAACCAGTACACCCAAGAGGTGCAAAACCTGGCAAAGACCCTTGAAGGTGCTTATATAAGTGAAGGTCTAAGCCAATCTCTGCAAACAAATACAGCACTACAACAGCTGTGAAAGCCATGACCCAAAACTGTTCAAATGATAAGGTAAAACTTGTCAGGCAGGCAGACACATTCACAAATATGAATGATGCCGGTTCTAATTTCGTCAATAGTTGCACGGGGATAACAGGTCAAAGTAACACTGTCCTGTATTATCGACGAGGTGAAAACAACAATAATAGAGGAGGCCGAGGTTATAATCGCGGCAGAAATTACAACCCCAACAATTACAACCGAGGCGGTAACAACAGCAACAACAATAATTACAATAGACGTGGAGGAAGAATAGGCGAAAATCGAGGAAGATACCGAGGTAATTCCAACCAAGGCTAACAACAATGTGAGAATGGCGCAAAATACGCCGGAAAACTCGCAGAACCCTTTAGGAAACTACCAGTAAATGCAAAGGTTCATTCCGTCTATTACAGTCTT